TAGTACCTACATCCAAAATAACATTGTACTACACCAAACCATTAATCAACCGCCATAACAAACCTACTTATTGTTTTGAGCAATTTTTATAGATCGCCTTCAAGCATGCGAGTTAAGAAGAAAATGAACATTACATTAACCATCATATTTTTTATTACACACAAGTTACAGGGTCATTGACTCACCGGCCTTGCTCCCAGCTCTGCGCAAGCGCATCTGCCACTATAGGTACTTGCGTAATGAGCTTTTCTACTTGCTCTAAGAACTAGTAAGATATCGACGCTTGTGAGCATAATTTAACTAGTTTTTGCTCGTGCTCCGTTTTATCGTGATGCGTGTCTTTTTTTGATGTGACATGCCTGCAGTGAGTAAAGGGATGTAGTAGGATGAAAAATACCGTTAGATAGAGAGTAGAAAAAAAGCTAACAGAACATAGTATTTTTAAGTTTATTTCTTTTTGAATGGTTTTGAATCGTTAAATGTAGTAGGAACCCTTGACTTTTTAGTAACAAATCCTCTTATCATCAGGCCACACAAATGCAATCTCTGATTTTCATTCGTATTGACTAAATAATATGGCCGAATATAATGACTTGGATGTTGGTCTAGTCTAGTGATCCTGACTATTAAGTCAGAGACCATTCCCACCCTGGACAAGTATCCTTTGTTCTTTGACACGATCTTTCTGGTTCGAGGTTCTGTGTCTGGGTGTAATTTATCTATAATATGTATATGTGTGTATATCAAAGGCCTGACTTGTCAATTACAGGACTTCATGTGTAGCGTAGATGGTATTTTAGGTTGGTAATGAGGAATTCTTTGTAATCTCCCAATATTTAATATGATCGTTCGCCGTACACATTTTGACATACAGTGTAGTAGGTCGGTATGTTTACCTTTACCGTTTTTTTTTTATTTCTTGATGTGTTTTTATACTGCTGTTAAACATTTATGATCAGTAATGTTTTTTTTTCTCGAGAAATTTTGTGACTTTTTTAAAATGTTTCTCCTATTTTTCAAATCATTCACCAAGTAGCATTAATCGCTTCCGAACTATATGTGGAAACTTTAAATAAGGAGTACTCAATTTACAAATTATAGTGTTGACGCAGACAGAATACCTGTTCTTGGATATTGATGAGCTATAGTTAACCTTAAAACCTTAGGTACTGCTTCTTAGGCTATTTACAGTAATTCTGTACTCTACTATTAAGTATAGGTATATACATTGAGTCACAGAGGAATGGTGTTTTCTTTAATATCCCATTCTATAAAAAGATCTGAGATCGTTTCAGAAACATAACGAGTAACGATATTTAAAAATTTAATGATATTCATTGTAAGTACAGTATACTGCAACTTTAGATAATCCATTCTTCCATACTTATATTATAAATGTCAGTTTGTTTGTTTGTTACTCTTTCACGCCAAACCACTAAACCGTTTTTTTTTTTAATTCTTTCACCAAATGGAAATCTACATTATCGCCGAGTAACATAAGCTACCGAACGCACGGGGGCGGGCGGAAGCTAGTAAAATTATTGATCTTTTCTCACCACTTTTTGTGTCAAAAAAACTGGCTCCCACGACTTACATTTTTGATTTGTCACATCTTTCCTCTCGCTTTCCTACAAATTTGATAGCCCTTTTATCGAGTAAGGATAAAGGCTATATAACATCATGCTAAGGCGAAGAGGAGCTGAGTATCAATGAAAAATGTTGCGAAAACTAGGAAAATTTATTCCTTTTGAGAGAACCAGACAAAGATGAGCGGGTCAGCCAGTTTATTACAAAGGTTTGATGTTTGACACATCATAAATGAAACTATGTTATGTTATGTTTTAGATTTGATCCTGTTTCCACCTTCATAATAACAATTTTGAAAAAGCATTAATTTTAATTCTGGTCTGTAATAGTTGCAGCAGGTGATAGCTTTATGAACCATACTTAACTCCTTATGTGACGAGGTCGTGGGTTGCAAATAAATCCAACAGGTTTAAGACTTCATTAGTCGTGCGTGAGTCGTGAGTACACCCGTTAGCTTTAATTTAATAGTTGAATATGTAGGCTCATGCAGTAACTTGTAATTTTAACGGACCAAGAGGCTTTACGATGTTTGATGCATTCATTGTACTACATATTACTGAAGATCCGTCAGCATATATGATGCCTTGTACAAAATACTAACTGACATAATTAATTTTCAAAGATTTGTGTAGTTAAAATTCGCAAGGTACTGTCAACATCTTTTATTCACTTTATTAAAGTACTATATTTGCCATGCTGACTGTACACATAGTAATTGAACTTCGTTGAAGTACATAAATTTTTGAGGCTGACTGCATCATTTTACTGACTCGCAATATCGGTTTTAACTACCCTCAGCGTCACTACTACGTGTTGCATTTGTTTTTTGTTTCTTACCTTACAACTCCGTTATCTATAAACCAATTTGGAAACATAATATTTTTTATTTGAGAGGTTTTACTTCTCGTTTGATTTCATAAAATTCCACCCCTAAGAGTGAAAATTAAGGAGTAAAGAATACAGTTAATTATTGCTTTGAATTTGTGTGATACTTTTTTTAAAGTTAATTATTTGTGTATTAGGTAATTCTATAGGCATTTCACTTTCAACTGTCCTGATTCTGGCTGCCGATATTAACATGTAATAATAATGTTATTATCGGCAGTCAGAATACGCATATTACACAATACATAAGGAACTTCATTAAGAGTAACGAGAATGTAGTAATACAGTTTGTACATCGATCATGTAATGTGGTATTTCAATTCATCAGCCAAATCCATCGCCTCTTTAGCTCAGTGGTAGAGCACTGGTCTCGTAAACCAGGGGTCGTGAGTTCAATCCTCACAGGAGGCACTTTGGAAGTTAAAAGCATCCTGACGTCTTAAGTTTTTTGAACTTGTTTTGGTGTGGGAAACCTTTAACTATGTTATAAAACTATTAAAGTCAATAGTAAAATATTTGTTGTCCAACAATAATACTAGGATTAAGAATACGGAGTGTCACCACCCCTATTCATCCCGTGGGTGTCGTAAAAGTCGACTAAGGGAGAAAACTTCGCAAGACAACAGCACTGCAAAGAGAACGAAAACTTGAAACAAACCCTATACCAACCCGTCTGGCCAGTGTGGTGTAGTAGGCCAAAACCTCCTTTCTAAGGAGAGGCCTATGTCCAGCAGTGGACTATCATAGGCTGTTGATGGTTGATGAATAAGGCGAGCAAAGGCGCGGGCAAAAGCGTTTATATATACAAATAAAAATCAATGTTTGTATGTTTGTCCTATATGCATTCCGAAACCATGGATCAGATTGTAATGAAACTTTAGTAGTGTGTTCTAGGGAGGTCCGCGAGGGTTCCTAGCCCAAAAAATTAAATGTAAATGTTTTTTTTGTAAAACATTCTTTTTTTAACAGTATGAAAATATGTTTAATGAAAAATATGCATGTATACTTATGCTCATCATTACCAACACGAGCTTTTTTTCTTAAAACATGAGCTTAGAACCGCTGAACTCATATGAATTAAGTAAACGGTTCTTTACTCATATTTTTTACTTTTAAAACAATGAGGCTTGATCGAGGTTTGTATGAAGCCGCGATCGGATATGCGAAGTCTCGATGAATACCGATATGTGGCCGAGGGACGAGTACTCGGCCAATTAGTGAGTGATGAATAACAAACACCCAACACGCGAAGAGTCCCATCTTTTTCTATTTCACTTTTTTGAAAAGACAACTCCCACACTGGGAATATATCCTGTTTCGCGGAGGACTTTACAAACATCCATGAAACGGACACATAGCCAACACTCACACGCAGAGAAAAAACTCAGCGCGGTAGGAAGCGGCGACGTGACCGCTTAAACCACTACATCCGTGTCTGCGCGCGGCTTAATTCATTAAAATACAGGTACATGATCACACTCAGTATTGGTAAAATAATTTAGTAGTAGAATAAATTGCTTTTTAATTTACTTTTATTTAAGCTAACCACTAACTCTTCGCGTGCGCACTTACTTCACAGTAAAACTAAAACAACTATAAAATTATCTACACTTATAAAACCAAAACCTCCTTTCTAAGGACCTACGACCTATGTCCAGCAGTGAATAACAAAGTCCTACTATGTAAACCAAGCTTGAAGGTTAAATTGAAGTAATTTCAGTCAGAAATAGCTAATTGGCTTAAAGATAATGTTCTTAGTCTAAATACAACAAAACTAATTTTATGTTTCACCGTTTCCAATCGTTAACAACCAAATGAAGCCTTCGAAGTTAAAATACACTCATGTGATAATAATACAAACATAAACTGTAAATGTCTGCTCTTGTCAAAGTCTAACAGACAAAATATCTAGGTGGAATTATTGACCAAAAGTTAACCTGGTATCCACACTTAGAACATGTCACTGGAAGAATAAGGAAACTGGGATGGATATTTAAAACGTTAAGATATGTGGCCCAAAAGGCCCCAGCAGAAATATTAAATTACTCTTACAGAACCACCCCAAGTAGAATACAGTAACTTATCAGGGACTGGCACATGGAATAGTACCCCGTTTTTTAAACTTTGGGATCTGCCACATGCCTGAGTTGCTTGAATATTTACATTAGTTTCCTAATTGTCCCCGTTAAAAATTCAATGTGCGGTGCGAAACTTAGTCGTGTATTAAGCTGCTGCTAAGCAGGGCTTACACATGTATAAATAAAAATACAACGAAAAAAAAAACATTTTGTTTGCACTACGCACCGAATTGTGAATTACCCATTCTCGAATCCACTTGAACAGTTCCGCCGTTTGAGTTCAGTCACATACACACGCACAGAAGAATTATATTTACTTATAAGGATAATCATTTTTGTACATTATACCTATGTAATATCAGCAATACTACGGCACGTTACCAACGGTCATTTAATTAGGGATCAACACGAAATAGAAATTATAAAATGTTATATTTTGTTACAGATAAAATGCGGACGCAAATTCTTCTGATGTTCCTGATAGCGGCGACTGGCAAAGCCCTAGATAGCGCTGACAACAAGTTCATGAAAGATTATGCTATGTTAAAGGTAATGAAAATTTGCTTCCAAAATACTAAAAAGACAAAACGAACTTCGCAGTCGGTAGGATTCGAACCTACGCTCCCAGAGGGAATCTGATTTCTAGTCAGACGCCTTAACCGCTCGGCCACGACTGCTTATGCCAATGATATAAAATTATGATTCTTACTGACAAAATAAATCTATAACTTTTAAAACTTGCAATGATTGTGTAGAAAATTTAGATCCTTGGTAATAATTACCCGATTAGGCCAAACGTAGGATTATTTTTTGTGTTATGTTTATCTAATCTTGCAACATAATATATACATAGGATTAAAAATCATATTTTTAATGTAACGTACTAATGCATGTTAGTTTTTAAATGATAAGATTACATAATTGAAGATACGTAATATAATAAAATTAATTATTTTAAATTATACTATACACATAATGTTTCTAGTTCCACAAATTATTTAACTTTAATTATAGATTTATATTAATGCATGAAAGGTTAAGAAGTAATAGGTTATCTTGGTACGGACATGTCATGCGGAGTGATGAGGAAAGTGTTAGGTATGGAAGTTGAAAAAAAAAGAAGTTAAAGGGTACAAGAGAAGAGGAAGACCGAAGAAGGTGAATGGACTGTGGGAAAGAGAATATGGCTAGGAATGGAGTAAACGGTGAAATTTTATGATGAATGATAGATAGTTCAAATAGTTTCAAACTAAGCAGAGCTTGTACTATGTAAAAAAAAAAGTATAAAAGAATTCTATCAGTCAATCTAGCTTAGATTGACTAATACAATTCTTCTATTTTTTTTTTCTTATTAGTTAATGTCAGCATTCAGGGTCACTAACCACTTGACCAACAGGCCAGTTACAATATAATAATCACATTATAAAAATAAATACATTAATCTTTCTTCTTTTACAGATCTACGAAAGTTGCTTCGGCACGGCACTTTTAAAGCAAATCACCAAAGAATTGAAAGACGCTTACACTAAATGTTCTATAGCGCCACCTATGAAAGAACCGATGAACTCACACGTATCGCCATTATTCTTGGGCAAATTGCCACCCGGTTTCTCCATGGACCCGAACACGCAAAGCATCATAAAACCCCTAGATGGCGCTATTCACAATAAAGATGAAGACAATCCAGTTCAAGATCAAGGACAGACCCCACAAAAACAAACGCTCGGAGGTGTTCTATCTTTCAGGCCACATGCGGTAATTATTCGAATAGTTTATTTAAAACAATTTAATAAATATCAAAACGGACATACGTGCCCAGATAACGTGCCTCCTGTGAGGATTGAACTCACGACCCCTGGTTTACGAGACCAGTGCTCTACCACTGAGCTAAAGAGGCTGTACAGTTAACTTCGAAATATTGCGTCATAAGTCTGAATATTAACTGTGACCATCTATACTTTAATAAAGGTTATCGAATTAGGACACTATTCTAATACATTTTCGATTTACATTCTTCCAATATCATCATCATCAGCCTATCGCAGTTCACTGCTGGACATAGGCCTCCCATTGCCTCCCATTGCACTCCCATTGCACACCACTGAGATCGTTTTTTTCCTCCAATTTACTTCTGATTAATTTCGTTGCGGGTTTCGAAACAAGAAGTTCCGGGAAAAGTATAGGCCTCTCCCATTGCACACCACTGAGATCGTTTTTTTCCTCTGGTAACCCCCCATCACTCGGTAAAAAGCAGCAAAAAAAGTAATTGCTAAAAACACAATGATATTTTAAGAAGGCGAAGGTGAAGATATGTTATATTCATAAAAAAAAATTGTTCCGTAACCGTACATACATCTAATAATGCCTTTTAAAACAAAACATACACTTACCTGTGTTATGGTATTCCTTTATCTTTATTTACCTTTTTGTCGTAATTTGTGCAATTTCACATTTTTATTCCAGGCACCATTCCAGCAGCAGGCTGCGATTCCTCCATACGTGATACCCGCACAGTTCCGTCCGTATAACGCGAACCCCTTCTATCCCAATCCTTACGCCGCACCTTCTTTCTACCAACCAAATGTCCCTTACAACCCCTACATGATGCCTCAGCAATACCAGCAGGGATATTACCAGCAACCATTCTTTGCAGCCAGTAATAGGATGTCGGTAAGCTAAAGCACATAATATACCCGGATATTCCCGGATGGCCATACCTTTATGTCCCACTCAGATATGCCCATCCGGGAAATACGCTACGCTACACTGTGAAACAAGAGACTAGAGGACTGTTAAACTTTCAACTTTGGATTTTGAAATTTTTATTCATATTTTACTGCGACCATTATGTTATACCTGTTACTTTTGATACACGAGTAATTAGACTTATAAATACTTTTTCAAAAAAAAAAAAATATTTTTTTATTTAATTTTGAATTTTATTTACAATATTTACAGAGACACATGGGCCTTCGTGCCCGTCTAGGTCTGAACACACCGCGAGCTCAATCGAACCACAACGTAACGTGCGTGATGCAGGAGCTTGGCTACATCGACAACAATATGGAGCCCAACTACGAGCAGATCACCCAGAGGATCAGCAACCTTCCTGTTTCCAACGAACTGAAGTCTGACATACAGGAGGGACTGCAGTTCTGTCACAAGTTCTCGGTTAGTTAATTCTGACCAACTGGTAAAAATGGCAGTCATTTTTTACCCTTTTATCACTGTATTATTTACTAGAACACAGCGTTGAAATAGAAAAAGATTACCCAATAGTTAATCATACTAAGATAGTTAAGTTATAATAAAATAACTTTACACATCTCACATACGGGAGTCCGATAACTAATTACCTAAGCATAGTCTGTGCTATGGTAACCAAAATGTTGATAAACATACTTAAATATATACATACATATTAAACACTAGTTGTAGTTGGATTTTGAAAAGCGCTGCCTTAGTGGGTTCGATAGCCGGACCGGGCAAAATTTTAAAGGGTTTAGACAGAGGAAAAATAGCCTAAGTTATTCCTTATGTAGACTACCTGGTTACTATACTACTAGCGGACGGTGGACTAGCTACCTGGTAGTAAAATATTATCGAAATCGGTCCAGCCGTTTAGAAGATCACCCGGAACAAACAGACAGACTGACGGAAAAAACTGGTTTTTAGGCATCTTGCAAATAACTGTGTGAGCATGAAATCAACCTATAATTTTGACATTACAAACAGACACTTTAATTTTATTTATTTGTATAGTTATCTATATAACTTACACCCAGATACAGAACAAATGATCGTACTCCTCACACAAACATTTGTCCTGGGTGAGAATCGAACCCACGACCTTCGGCTTAGGGTCGCTAACACCTACTCAACAGACACGTTAAAATTTATACCTACATGTTGTTGGATGAAGTGTGTGGTTAGTTCAGGTCCCAAGTTCTAGTAGCCTCTTCAAGCTGCTGTAGTTCAGTTCAATTTCCTTATCCGAAATATCCGGGATATTCCTTGCGCTATCTTCCTTTGCCCTATCCCTTTTATTTGCCTTTTTCCTTTATCAGGGCTTAAAACGGTTATATTGGGAGCCTGACGGGCCTGTTGGTCTAGTGGTTAGTGACCCTGACTGCTAAGTCGGAGGTCGTAGGTTCGATTCCCACCCCGGACAAATAAATGTGTGATGAGCACGATGATTTGTTCTGTGAATGGATGTAATTTATCTATAACATGTATGTATTTAGAAATATATAAATAAGTTTATCAGCAGTCTGGTTACCATAGCACAGGCTCTGCCTAGTTTGCCCTGAGTGTGGCCGCGGGTGGACGGGGTGGGTTTCCCCTCCACCCGCATTAGTTGGCCAGCCGCGAGGGGGCGGCGTCCGCGTGTGCCGGACGTCGCCTAAAGAGAGGAACATCTACATCGAGACGGAGCCCGCACCAGGAGCGGGCTGGCGCTAGGAGGGGTCCGGATGTCTTAACAACAGCTGTTCCCGGATCCCTCCTGTTACAGGCGCAGAGTGGCACACCGTGTGGTTTTAGTCGGTCCGAGTCCGACACACCACCCCGCCGCAAACCCCGGAGGGGTGACGGTCCGAGGGGATTTCCACACGTTAAAAAAAAAAAAAAAAAAAAAAAAAAAAGGCTCTGCCTAGTTTGGAATCAGACGGCCGTAGTTATTATTATTTTTTTAGTCCCAAAGAGTGTCCCTAGTGTGCAGAGGCTTTATATTATATCTGAATATAATTACAATACTCACTAGAACATTGAGAGCAGTTATTTTTCTACGATATTCTTATAATGAAAATTTATTATTTCAGCAATGTGTTCCAGAAGATAAGCGCGATATTGTACCGCGTCCTCAAGAACAGATTAGAGCTATATTCTTCTTCAGATGTTACAAGGTAATATATGTCTTCCTTAATGTCTATTACACATGGGACAAAATCATTTTTAAAATCTATACAAAAGCTGTAGAGTTTGTTAGTTAGTTTGAATGAACGCGCTAATCTGACGAATTACGGATTCGAATTAAAAAGTATTTTAGTGATAGATAGCCGACGGCTAAAAAACCTCACGATACGACCAATAGGAACCGTGCATCAACGAAAAGTGTTGCAAAAACGGATCAAATTTATTCCTTTCGAGACTTAGACAGGGTGAAGAGAATAAATCTAAAACTAGTATGATAAACTTGCAGCACAAGAAACTGGAGGCGTGCATCATGAAAGACATCAATGAACATTTCAACAAGGAGTACATGTTCGATTCTGATAACGATTTTGTGTGAGTACTGATTTCTTATCATTGTTATTAACTAAAAATGTTTAATCTATATATACATGTATATCATCATCACAAACATCTCTTTCTGCTCAGTATAGGAATACGTCATTATCGAGATGCAAAACGAGACACCATAACTTAAAAACATTTTCTTTTGACAGTCTTTCCCGCCAAGCCCGCTCAGTACGCGACGTGCCTCTTCGAGACCCCAGCATTGAAGCCCTGGAAGAAATGGAGGTGTACTTGTATGACTACCTTAGCGGAGGAGGTGGTTTTGACTTCGATTTATATATCTAAGACTGACGCTAGTTATTTAGTTAGGTTCATCATCTTCATTGGGGTAGGTCACATTTCGTTGTACACTTTATTGTTTTATTACGCATGACTTCGTGTGGTTCTAATTTTTTTAAAATAAGGTTATCCGGGTATTCTGTTAAATGACAGTCTCTACTTCCAACCTGCGATATTGTATAATAGAAATAAAGATCTGTTTCTACGTCACCCCCTGGCGAATGTTGGTCTTTTCAATTTTGGCTGACAAATAGGCTTTAAATTTAGAACGAAACGTTAAACATGCCATTTTAAAAAATGTTTACAACATTTTTAAAACGGTAAACTTCTTAAAAATACTCATTTTTAATTATTTTTTTACAAAATACAATAAATTAACATATGTAAGTAATTTAAGTAATTTTAGGTTATTAAATGAATGCTCAAGCTAAGGTTGCCCTTCTATACGTATTAGCAGATATTAAAAAGATATCTGTTTCAAACAATAATATTATGTAAATCATTCTATCTTTTAGAGTCTTTGTTGGACAAGGCTCAAATCATGCATATTTTATAATAAGTAGGTCTAGTTAAGTAAGTAGTCATAGCTGTCATTCAAATGCATTTATTAGCATTTAAGTTTAAGATATCGATATATTTCTGGCATTGGGAAAAATGTGGGATGTTTGCTACAGCCATAGTTATATACCTATTAGGTACTCACGATTTTCCTCTAGTACCTGCAAAATAATAAACAAGGCGTATAAATCTTATTTATGTCGGGTGTTGTATATCAGGTTATAATTCGCCAAAACAGAAATCTGGTCGTAATTTTAATAAATTTATTTCATTGTAATCTTCCATCTTTAAATAATATATAGAGCGAATAGTTGAACTATTCGAAATCATTCGATTAAATAAATGCATTTTTTCATTAATTAATTGGGATATAAAATCGATTACGTTATGGTTTGTAGCAAACTTTTAGTTCTTGTCGACAAAGCTTACTAAGTACCTACCTAGACCGAGCTTTTTTGACGATTACATTTAGGTAGGTTTTGAGGTGAATGATGTTAATATCATCCTTTCCTCGGTAGGAACGATTTATTATTCACCCTTAGGTAGTAATTCTTATTTTACATTTATCATCATTAATTATTACTATTTTTCTGTCTACCCTCATTCATTTTAGCATAATAAATAATATGGGATTGTTTATTTGTCTCATTTGATAAATGCATTTACTAGCATTATTGGTAAAATAACGTAAGATTAGATTTTAATTTGAATGTAGTAATGTAACACACGATGTAGAAAAATTTAAATAAATCAAACAGAAATTTTTTTTTTCATTTTTATTTAACGGCTCCTAAATAACATCGTCTTGCAAATTAAATCTTGTAACCATTTAAATTTATAGTTCACAAAATCTGTAGTTTAACCATTTGCTTTTATTTAGTTTTTTTAATGTTTCTGATTGAATAACCAAAAGAAAAAAGTAAATATTCGGTTAAATTTTCGAATACAAATCTCGATTACAACATACTGTGACTTTTTAATTTGTTTTTTTTTTTTCTTAAATATAACCAGTATTTTTTCAAAAAAAAAATGTTCTTTCATCTACTTTTTAAAAGCCTACGATATCCCCTGAGATTTGACTTTAATATTGGTTTCAAAACTTTTATAACAGGAACAGGTACACCATAACTGAACGTAACAGGTATGGTCTATTAAATTAATGAGACAAATCGTCTCCTACTGGTATGAGTATTATTTTAATCTACGTGGGGAACTATCCACGTAGATTATAAACTCATACCTTACTAACAGGTTACATACCACTGGTACATATAATACAACTGGCTACATACCAATTGCTGTGGTTTTAGTATGTAACTACACCGCTAGATGTCATTAACTTCACTTTTATATGTAAAAAAAAAATAACCTAAAAAGGATGGGTAGGTGGCTTTTATTAACAACACCTGGTTTTGTGAATAACATTAATACGAAATATATATCAACTTTCAATTAAGATGTTGACTTTCATTTTAGTTATTAATTCATATGTAAAATAATTATTAATAGTGAACTACGTATTGGCAATAATTTATGAGACAGATTTCATAAACTAGTAACTATAGATCAAAATCAATTAAAGCTTTACACAAACCATTTAGATCAAAGTTTAAATGCTAAGTTTAAGTACACTTATAGCTAAACTAACCATCTTCTATCTATCTACTATCTACCTTCCGTGTGGTGACGGATTAAGAATACTTGGTGTCACCACCCCTGTTCATCCCGTAGGTGTCGTAAGAACCGACTAACGGAGCAAACTACGCAGGAAAACAGCATTGCAAAAATAACTAAAACTTTACACAAACCCTATTCCAACCCGTCCGGCCAGCGTGGAATAGTAAGCCAAAACCTCCTTTCTAACGAGAGGGATATGTCCAGCAGTGGACTGTTAAAGGCTGTTGATGATGATGTTGATGAACCCCACCTTACCATCTTATTATACTAACCTAACTAACTAACATAACTTGTTGAAATATTACTAACTATTTATCCTGTCCTGGTCCTGACATTGACATTTTAATACGAACTGTCTATTTTTTTTTTAATTCAGTCTCACGTCACACTATTATGAACTGCCAAACAAAAAGATTATTGTATAAATATTATATGGAGGCAAAGGGCACGCGTGCACAAAGGCTACTAAAGGTGACTGTCTATCAAACATCTAAATGTCATATAACACAATTTTCTTGTCAGCGGCGTGTAGATGTATTATTATTTCCTTCCCTAAATAGTTTTTGATTCCATGAATACCTGAGGGTTTCCTTTCGAAAAAGCAGAAATAGGTATGTATGTATAGACAAAATTTAACTGCTATGTAATTGACATATGTATGTGCACAAACGGAGCCGAGACGTGGACACTCCACTGTCCTGGTCCACACTAGACTGGTCCACAAGTTTCAAGTCGCTCAGTGCGTGATGGAGCGTGCAAAGCTTGGTGTTTCTCTAGTCGATAAAATTCGAAATGAGACCAGTCATCAGAAAACTTGAGTAACCGACACCGAAGTGGAAGTGTGCATATCTCCAGGCGGACTGATGGTTGCTGATGCCGACATGTGCCGGAGTGGAGACCCACGACTTAAAGAAAAAAAAATCTTTCTTATCACAATGGTTTTCTTAAAAGTAAACAAAAAAGATGTGCTAATACCAATGTATTAGCACATCTTTTTTGTGGTCCTATCTATATATCCTATCTATATGTCCTATCTATCTATCCTATATTTATTGTGGTCCATCTTTTTTGTGGACCTACATCAGGCACCAGTCTCTCACAATGGTCAATGACCATTGTGAGAGACTGGTGCCTGATGTAGGTTTAAAATAAATCCTTTTTTTTTAATTAAGCGACTTCAAATAATACTAACAAAGAGCACTAAAAATTAAAAAATAATTATAAATCTAATTGAAAAAACTAAAATAAGTGCGACCCTAAATGAAACGGGTAACATTATAATAGCAATAGACAAGGAGGACTAACTGTTTGAAGGAGGTGCCCAGCCCGATGCGCAATAAGTAATACTGAGGGGAGAACTGAATATAATTCTAATGAAACATCGCAGATTTTGTTAATTAATAAAGACCAAACAGACCAATTATCTAAAGAAACTTATCAACTAGTTAGTAAAGCATTAAATATTAATACACATTATATATATAATATCATTTGAGCTGTTCGTAACCTACTTTGGCTCAATTATCATGTTTTGCGCTGCAACACTAACACCTAGGAATATCTTTAAAAGAACAAGGTGACATGATTATATTATTACAAGTTTTCCTTTAACTCCTAAACCTTCCAACATCAGCTCAGCAACATGAGGTAACGACTACCAAACGCAAATATCTGTACAGTTACAGAAACAAGCTAAAACATTTAGTCGGGGCTATAAAATTTGAGTTCCTTCGAGTTCTCTGGGATACCATCATCAGAGGATGTAGCCGCTTTTCCTCTCTGGCGGACTACTCACCGGCTGACCCAGTGGAGAGATTCAAGAGATTACCTCAGGGCGCCTTGTATGAGAATAGAAGTGTGTGCGTGTGGGAAACCCATGGGACTCTTTAGAGGAAAACAACTTACACCTCAGTTATACATACATGTATATTTCAAAGAAAAAGTAGATCAAATTAAACTAATTAAACAGAGTGGGTACAAGAAAAAGAAAAAAAACCGCAGCGGTGCGCGTTAGAGCCGAGCTGATGGTGCTCGGTGCCTCCTCGTCGTCCCTCCAGGAGTTTACTTCCTCTTCCGCCCGAGTCGGCTATTTATATTAGATATGGATAAAAGTTTAACAATCTGCAATTATAAGTTTAAGTACGTAACTCTTGGGTACGGCTGTCCGCTTGCGTCGTGAGCCGCGCAATCACCAGCTTTGCCAGAGGGTACCGAGAAACTTGAGTCTGTACCAGAAGGCCACAAAAGAGCAAGCACGCCGTCTAAGACTGACCGTCTTGACCCCGAAATCTGGGACCCTACGAATGGATTAGCACTCATATAATTAAACAGGTTCCAGAAACAAATAGGTTTAAGTAGAATTAAGAACATACTCACCACTTTAGTGTGGGTACTTTGAACAGATAATATATTAAGAAAATCAAATCACACAGCAATCAAAACACTATATAAGATCGGAAGGCACGAGATAGCAGTGTCTCCCGTGGCAGAAAGCCGGACTTATATATCCTAGGTTCAGGAAGCTTCCAGACTTTATCCCTACTCAACACTTTACTTTGACATTTAACATCAGTGAACACAGAAGATCAATACTGTAGTTATAAACTACCTTAGATAAATCAACAACAATGCAACGCGGCTAATAGATGTAGCTTTTAACAAGACCATTCAAATGTACAAAAAAATAACTGTTACAAGGAGTCTTAATCCTGATTTGTTAGTAATGGAGGGTCCCATTACTAACAAATCAGGATCTGAGAGAGTTTTGATTT